AACCGCGTCTCTCAAACCACAGCTCATAAGCTATGCAACGTCTGCTATAAGCTATCGAATGTCAGCTCGTAAGCTATGCAATCCTGCAATACGCTATGCAACGATGCTCTGCACTGTCGATGCTATACATCGTGACAGGGCTGCGTCGCAACGAGACGTGGAGCTAGAGGCGGAGGAGCTGATGACGTTTTACAACAACAAGTGCAGCACGTGGGAGAACGCGCTGCTGATGGAGGGGTGGCTACAGTATTGGCTGCAACGGTGGGTCTTTTTGCTGATTTGAGTGTACATGAGTTAGGAGGAGGTGAATGTGCGACTCGGACTTCGATACGATATTATGTCCAATATAAGACACTGATCTCATCGCTAGCTTACCCATTGCGTAGCTTTGAAGATATGCCGGAAAATGATGATTATGCTTGCCAATTGCGGTGGTTCGTTTCTTATTTTGTGCGATGACAAAGGCATTGAAACCCTAAAACCCTAAATCACTTAAACCCAAAGGGCTTGAAATCCTAAAACCCTAAATGCCAAAAACCCTAAATGAAGCAAATGTTGATTTTGTGACGCGCACTGTAGAGCCCAAAAACGTGCATGCTACCGAGGCTCGGTAGCATGGCTTAATCCTCGAAAACGTGCTTGCTACCGAGCCTCGGTAGAAAGACACGAAGCCCACTTGAGCACGTATCAATTCCCCATACCACGGGGGGTTACATGCTGCGCAGCCTTGAAAACGCGTCGAGCTGCCGAGGCTCGGTAGCAAATTACAATCAGCTGTGCTCTTACGCACTTCGTTTGTGCAGGGGCTTTCGCTTGATAGCGTATCGGGACGAGGAATGTTTGGATGATCCAGAGGAGGAGACGGGGTTCGAGTCGAGGGCGGACATCGCGGAGTCGGCTCACGCGTCGTTCCTAAGGGGGCTTGGGGGGAAGAAGATGCAGTTGGATATCGCGGCGGCGGTTCTTGTCAACGGCGCGAACATGCTGCTCCAAATGTCCGACGCAAGGGCGAGGAAGGAAGCGTTGGCAAAGCCGGCGAGAGGACCGACCTTGTCGGACAACCGCCGCCGAAATGAGGAGTGGAGAAGAAGTGTGGAAGAGATGCGGGAAACCCTGCGAGGTGGGGGTAGCGCGCAAGAAGGAGAGAGAGAATTTGCAAGGAGGGTGCATGAGGGGGGGTACGAGACGGACCCTGTCGGGACGGACAGGATCGAGACGCGGAACAAGAGGAGACGAGAAGCAGAGGGGGCAGGGAGGCGGACAGAGATGGAAGGAAGGGACAGCGATGAGGAGGAGGGGACTCACAGGGCGGATACCATTAGGAGTGAAAGGTGGAGGAAAAAGGGGCGGTTGTCAAGTCCAGAGGGAGAGGAAGCCGTCGGTGGTAGTGGGTTTCACAAGGATGTATTGGAGTCGATGGGAGACTTGACGGAGGAAGATTTAGCGAGACAAGCAGAGGAGTTCGAGAGGCTGCGAGAAAGGAACAAGGGGAGGAAGAGGAGTTGCAGCAGGCGGGAGAGCGAGTTTATAGACGAGGAAGAGGAGGACCTGGATGAGATTACAAGGTTGCATGAGGAGTTGGAGAGGGAGGAAGAGGAGTTGAGAAACAAACGACGAAGGGAGGAGGTAGAAAGAAGCGAGGAGGAAGCGCACGGGGAGGAGGAAGAGGAGGAGGAGGAGGAGGAGGAGGTGGTGGAAAGCGATGATGAGAGGGCTCGTGAGGGGAGAGAAACCGCGCGCGCCAAGCTCAGACAACAGCGAGTTCCGGACGTGTATTTTCAGGGCGCCAAGGCGTTCTCCACGCAATGGGGTTTAGCGCGGTTAAAAACTTACGATGCGGCCATTTGCTGTGGCTCGAAGCATTCGGGCTACGAATACACATCGTGCTGCACGCCCTTGGTCGCGAAGAGGGGAGCCGGGAGGTTGGGGAACGTGGTGCTCATGAAGTAAGTGAATGGAACCGACTATATTTTGAATTCTGCACTTGCGAATTGATTCTTGTTGCAGCGTGTCATTGATTCTGGTGATCTGTCTGTTTCGTTCCTTTGATCGTGATTGTGTATTCCAATGAAAGGCATGTGGAAACCATTTAGTTTATGACTTAGCTTTTCTATTGGCTATTGTTGGGTGGGTCTTCGCGTCGCACAGACGCTCGAGGCGGATGGTGCGCCGCAAAGAAGGGTCGCGTACTGCGGGCGATTGAAAAAATGCGCGAGCCGGACGTGCTGGGGGTTGAATTATTCTATAGCAGCAGAGGAGGTTTTGCCGAACCCCGACACGCATGTGTTTCCGTTGTTCGAGGGAACGGAGTTGACCGGGGGGGATCGGGCGAAGCTAAAGGAGGCACGGGTTTTGTACGACGAGAGTCTTCCAAAGCTGAAGGATCCAGGTGCGGCGTTGCCATGTAAGAGCTTGAAGCTCGGGCCGAAGACTTTTCGGAACGCCGGAATTGGGCCTGCAGAGGGGAATGAAGAGGATCGGCGAGGCTCTTGGGCGGGAGTGCGATCGAAGCAACAGGCAGAGAAGGAGGAGAAGCGTCAAATGCTTAATAGGGGGGACGGGTTGGTGAAGGGAAGGCCGGTGGGGAACAGGACGAAGGCTACGAAGCAAATGAAGGACAACCTGGTGAGGGGTTGCGTGTACAAGGGAACCGTTGTGGCGGAGGCCATGGGAGTGGACGCTGCGGGAGACCCAACGCGGAAATTCATGATCAAGGCAACGGGGTTGGCGGGGGCGGATACAGACAAGCTCTACGAAGTGGTCTTAAAGAGGGTGTGCGAATGCGATTGCGCGGGGTACAAGAGAATGATGGCAGACAATCGGAAGCCGTTTGCGTGGTGCAAGCACATCTACGCTATTATGATCAAGGTCTTGGGATTCGGCAGGCACGACCCTCTGTTGTTGGCCGTTGCATTCAACAAGGCGGAGTGGATGCGGATCACGTCAAAGCCGGCGACACATTCGGCGCTGGCGGGTTAGTGCACCGAAAGACTGCGTTGCCGATGTAGCGACTAAGGCCATCGTGGCTATGAGTTCACGCCCGGCAGAACCGAGCGCAGTTTAGCAGGTATCTGTAGGTTGAAGCTAAGGGATAGCCGCGAGAAGGGTCACGTTGAACAGAGCACCATTTAAATATGAATATGTCACGCGACTTTAACACTGCGTTCAATGCCGCATTTTCCATGTATAGTTAGTGTACATTGATCGGGAGACAATTTTTTTGTTTCGGATGAATACACAATGATCTTGCCGTACACAATGATCTTGCCGTATATGTTCTAGGCTGGTCGTAGTAACAACAACGTATAGATGGTAGTAAAGGAATGTTATGCGATACGTTTATCTTGCTGGGCGTCAATGAACATGCTTGGAATGGACAGTTTGTTACTAAGTTAAACACGAAAGCAATTGATGGCGTGTCTTTCGGTGTTGGCAATATTAGTAGTTTCAACACGCATGATACATGTCGACGTCGCTATGTTGCTCATCTGAATGAAGCAACAAACGAAAAGTAAAAGAGAACGAGTGTTTCATACGTTGATAGGTGAAGAGAAGTCTTTCGCAAAAGCCGGGGGGTGGGACATGGCAGCTTGAATGACAAGGTTGGGGCGTGCCGTCAAAGTTTGTTCTGCATGAAGCGAGCGATGAAATAAAATACCGTTTCGAGCGAGTGCAGTTTCGGGCATCATGATTTCTGATGACCATGTGTTGGACGAGGATGCATAGAGGTTTGGAACGGTAAAAGGGGTCCGCACGAGAAAGGGGCCTGAGGGACGTGGTTGTTGCATGCCGTGAAACTTCGATCCTGAATGGGAAACAAAATAAGTGCGGATCGTTTTAATTTTTGTTCAAACGAGGGGCCATTATATGAAGGATTGAACGAGCGACGTACATGTTGAAAGAGGCATAGAGGCTTCTTACAGCAGTCCGCACGAGACGAGTGCTTGAGTGACGTGGCTGTCGCGTGCCGTGAAACTACGTTTGAAAAGGGAAAAAATATAAGAGCGGTTCTTTGAACAGTTTGTTCGAAGCGCGGGGCGGTATACATAGAGGGTGTGGGTGA